TCAAATACCATTGCGAGCGTTTTACAAACAAACCTCAATAGCCGACTTCCTGTTGGGCTGGGGTAAAAAGTAAAAGCACGAGGTATAGATGAAACGATGAGATCAACATGTGTACCGAGTTTCATATTATTACATGCAAGCGTGTTTGAGTTATGGACCGAGTGTTCGGACCCCGTTCCAGGGGGCGCTGACGAGCCCCCCTGCCACGCCCAGGTACCAGCTTCAGCCCGGCTCTGATGGCCGCGGGTTCTGACCCGTGTGCAAAGTTTCAAGAGTTTTTGAGCATGTTAAGGGCTCCAAAAGTGCCAAAAAGGTAGTAAAATAATAATACTAAAGAAAAATAATCCTTAGGAAAACAATAGGGCCTTCGCCCTTTCAGGGCTTGGGCCCTAATAATCCTTAGGAAAACAATAGGGCCTTCGCCCTTTCAGGGCTTGGGCCCTAATAATCCCAAGGAAAACAATAGGGCCTTCGCCCTTTCAGGGCTTGGGCCCTAATAATAAATATAGCTGCGAGCAGCGATTGCGGGCCCAAGCCGGTGGCACCGCAACCCCGATGCCTTTAGTTACCCAAAGGCACCGGGATGGTGGTACCGCCGGCTTTGGCGCTTTATCGCTGCTCACATCTATATTTATATTTAATATAAAGCCGGTGGCACCGCCACCTTGGTGCCTTTAGGGTTATTCTGTACGACGTGTAAAAACGTAACCCCCGCTTTGACTATCAAAAAGAAGTGTATTGTAGAGCTTGCATCAATGCGGACTCGATGCGCTGTGCGCTGTAACTCCATGTGGCTTTAAGCGCATCATTCTCCACTCGGGATGCGCATAAGCGTTTTGTGCCACACTGTACTGAGCCTTTCATATCATAATGCAGTGACGCAATGACAGATTATTAATTGCCTTTCTTGTTCTGTTCTATCTATTATATGTTGATAATAGATAGGACAGAGCACTAAAAACCTCAAACAAAGCACTAAAAACTTAAGCTGTTTGCTGTGTAGTCTGAGAATGAGCTGTTTGATTTGCACCCTCTTCCTCTTCACTGTCCTCCATAAAAACCAGCTATTCAGGTCCATGTTGTTCTAGAAAGTTTGTATGTTGCTGCCTCAATTAACATCTCTGCTATACATTTAAAACATGGCTATATCTAAAATAATTTATCTTTTTGATTTTTGTTATCTTGTTTTTCATGAATATTTTACAACAATACAAAGAGCAATGTGTATTTTCCAATAATATAGTTTGTAATGGCTTTTTTTGTCATAGATTATAATCATATATTTTTTGGATTTGTTATTTATCTTTATAATGAAGTTGTCTGTATTAAGTAGATTGTGTTTAACACACACAAGAGTGATTTATTAGTTCAACACATAGTTATAGAAATTCTACTTTATCTAAAAAAAACCCTGCACTTTATATACACACACACACACACACACACACACACACACACACACACATAAATACATGTAAATAAAAATCCAAAAAAAAAAAAAAAAACATCAAATGTGTTTTTAGTCAGAGTATTATTTTATACAGAAACAAATATTTGTAATTCAGATAAGAATGAAGTTAGTGTTTTAAAATCTTAAGGAAAACAAATATATTGAAATATAGCACATGAATTTTAAATTCATTCAACTTCAATTACAAATACAATCTTACTTTTATTTAAAGCAAACTATACATTTAAAAGATGGGGGTTATATGCCTATTTTGTCATTTAAAAATATTGTTATGCAAAATTGTTATGCAAAAAGACAAGGACTTAGAGACAAGGACTTGTAGGAAAAATCGCAGCCAGCCACACACACACACACACACACATAAACACAGACAACAGCCCTCCCCTCCCCACACAGACACACACACCCACACACACACACACAGAGAGAGAGAGAGAGAGAATAGCAGGGGAAATAAATCCATTCAAACTACAATATCTGACTTTCTGTTGCTCAGAGCGAATGACTTTAAATTGGAAAGTTGATCGGCTTGACGAGAACAATATACGTGGTAAGTTTTGTAACTGTAGGTAAATTGAGCAAAGTTATAACACACTTTATGTGTCCTTTTTTAGTCATAAAATTCATGTCCTCGCCACGGCCAGACCGTTCGAGATATCAAAAATCCGTCCGGAATTGAGCATCCTCAATGTCTTGACTTCATGCACACCGAGTTTGGTTGTGATTGGTAAACACATGCATTGTGATTTGATGTATTTCTCCTAGGACAATTATTCAAACAACCCATAATTCATAATTCATAAATAACTTCCATTTGAACTGTCATAAAACTTAGAGCACGAAAGTTGTTTGGCCTGATGTGATCTTTAATTGTACCGAGTTTCATATTAATTCATGCAAGTGTGTTTGATTTATGGACAAATTTTTGAATCCCAGTCCAGGGGGCGCTGTCGAGCCGCCCTGCCACGCCCGGTTACCAGCTTCAGCCCGGCCCTGATGGGCATGGGTTCTGACCCGTGTGCAAAGTTTCAAGAGTTTTAGAGGATGTTAAGGCCCCCGAAAATGCCAGAGAAGTTGCACACAGCAAATAAAGGGTTAAAATTAACCTGACAGGCGCCCCTCCTCTCACTCACACAGAGAGACACTGAGAGACTGGCAAAATTCTGAGATTTTCTCTACATTCAAACAAACATATCTGACTTTCTGTGGGTCCTAGCTAATGAGTGTCAATTAGAAAGTTGTCCGGCTCGAGGAGTACAATATACATACCGATTTTTGTAACTGTAGATAAAACTAACAACCCCACTTTTGTCAAAAGGTGGCGCTACTGAGCCCTCACCACGCCCGTTTCTGCAACTTTGCACATGTCTACTGGCTAATAAATGTGATGTGTCTGTCGAGTTTCATGCAATTTGAAGCATGCTAAGAGTCTCAAAAGCATCCTAAAAGAATGGTAAAGTTTGATGCGTTGCCACGGCAACAGTTTCAAAGATATCAAGAATCCATTTACAGGTCTTCATCTGCCATGTATTTGCAATATACAGATGAAGTTTGAAGCAAATCGAGTTAAAATTAGAGGGTGATTTCAAAGCATTTTGAAAATGACACACTTCCTGCTGCCAGTTGGTGGCGCTATAACTTTGACTCACAATAGTCACATCCATGTGATCGTCCTCTTACAGCGAACACACTGCTGAAGTTTCATCAAGATCGGTTGATGTGTGCTGAAGTTATGATACACTTCCTGTTTCACGTTTCTCGCCATAATTTTGTTTCCTCGCCACGGCCAAACTGTTTGAGATATCAAAAATCCCCTCGCAAACTTTCATCCTCAATGTCTTGACTTCACGCTGACTGAGTTTCGTCGAATTTGGATCAAAGCTCTAGGAGGAGTATTAAAAATTCCATTGCGAGTGTTTTACGAACAACCCTAAATAGCCGACTTCCTGTTGGGCTGGGGTAAAAAGTAAAAGCACGAGGTATAGATGAAACGATGAGATCAACATGTGTACCGAGTTTCATATTATTACATGCAAGCGTGTTTGAGTTATGGACCAAGTGTTCGGACCCCGTTCCAGGGGGCGCTGTCTAGCCCCCCTGCCACGCCCGGGTACCATCTTCAGCCCGGCCCTGATGGCCGCGGGTTCTGACCCGTGTGCAAAGTTTCAAGAGTTTTTGAGCATGTTAAGGGCCCCAAAAGTGCCCGAATAGTCGTATAAATAATAATAATAATAATAATAATAATAATCCTTAGGAAAACAATAGGGCCTTCGCCCTTTCAGGGCTTGGGCCCTAATAATCCTAAGGAAAACAATAGGGCCTTCGCCCTTTCAGGGCTTGGGCCCTAATAATCCTAACAGATTCAATAGGGTCCTCGCACTGTTAGTGCTCGGGCCCTAATAACAAATGACAATGGTTACGTTTACATGCAACCAAATAATCCATTAGAAATCAGACTGACGGCTTAAAGGAGAACTCCGGCGAACAATGAACCTTTGGTCTAATAAAACATTGGTACCTAGTCAATCGTTCTCTTTGATGAAATTTGAGATCATGAGATTTATTTTCATGATAATCGAATGTAAAGAGTTTTATCTCTAAAAACTGTTTAGCGTATAATGCTAGTAATGGGGGCATTGACTAAGTAAAAAGAAATCGCTAGTTTATACCACTAACAAGGCTCAAAATAGCCCCACGCTAACACAGTAACATAATGAGGCTCCATACATGCAAAACGAAGCATTGAGAACTTTGTAAGTGTACAGACTGTTTAATAAGAAGATACTTTATGAAGACAGTTCACTTTGTGTATACAGACAGGAGCCATCTTAAAAAAGTCTCGATAAGTCAAACCACGAACGCCGTTCATACAGTTCAGAAGTTCGATGAACTTCATACAGTTCAGATCACTCAGCACGACGTTCGTGGTTTGACTTATCGAGACTTATTTTCTAAGATGGCTTCTGTCTGTATACATTAACAGTGAACTGTCTTCATAAAGTATCTTCTTATTAAACAGTCTGTACACTCACAAAGTTCTCAATGCTTCGTTTTGCATGTATGGAGCCTCATTATGTTACTGTGTTAGTGTGGGGCTATTTTGAGCCTTGTTAGTGGTATAAACTAGCGATTTCTTTTTACTTACTCAATGCCCCCATTACTAGCATAATACGCTAAACAGTTTTTAGAGATAAAACTCTTTATATTCGATTATCATGAAAACAAATCTCAGAGAACGATTGACTATGTACCGATGTATTATTAGACCAAAGGTTCATTGTTCGCCAGAGTTCTCCTTTAATCAGACTGAAAAGCCTTCATATGCAAACACCTTTATCCTATGTAAAAAGCGAGCAGAGCAAGCTTCCATAAGAATGGACTCAAATTATGAATGCCCTTTACATTTAACTTTCGCTTTCAAATTATCGACGATTTTAAAATTTAAAAGAGAGGAGCAAAAGAGGGAAAAACTCCAACGTGTGCATGTAAACATAGCAATTGAGTCTCTTGTTGCAACTTGAGAACTTACCACAATACTTTTAGTCCGTCTCAGTCTTGGTACAAAAATGTCATTTTCATTTCGGTGCTGTATCACAATCTGTAAAAAGAAAAGAAAACAGTGTAAACAACATTTTAGTATTTGACATGTAAAAATAAAAAGCGCAAGAAAACAAAAATTATATATATATATATATATATATATATTCCTGTCCAGCAAAGCTTGATCATCTGGATTACATCTTGATCTACATCTGGATTAAAACCAGCCTCATGGGGACTTTACACACACAACGTTATAGTTCCTTACGGGGACCAGTTTCATTAAATTCAAAACACGGGTGTGAACTCAAATACTGACCAAAAGTGTGTTGTGGGGACGTCGTGAGTGTCCATTTCAATGCAACAATTAACCCAGAAAAAAAATCCTGTGAAGGATAAAAGTGGCCCTAAATACTGCACTACAACTGATCTACTGAGCACATGTCGTAAAACAGTTTAATGTACTAGTTTACACCAGATACTCATCAAAATATGCTTACAAATCACTAAACCGTGACAAAAAACCTAAATCTTTACTAATGAATGTGAACTCACCTGTTGAGGAGAGTTGATTTGAGCAGATTCTTCATCCATCTGAGTCACTGACTGGAGAGAAGGATCAGAGTCATTCACTGTGCTGGTATTAACAGCAACGCTGGTCATCTGTAAGAGACAACATTCACAATGATTCACCTAAACTCACCTGTTGAGGAGAGTTGATTTGGGGATTTGGATATAATTTATTGGAACAGACAAATTTGATTCATAGATTTCTAATAGATTCAAATTCTAATCTATTCAACCAACAAATTTGTTGACATGTTGCAAAAATATGACCTATTTTGTACACAGTGTGCTTAACAACATACTTGTGTTCTCCATGGGTAGTCTTCTCCCCCATAATCATAGGCAATTTCTTCTCCTTCTTTAATGTCATTCAGGGCAAACAGACAAAGGTGAGGCTTTCCATTGACGTCAATTTTTTTCATCTTACAATTTGGATGATTGTGGCAATCATTAGCGATACGCCCATACGATCCATCTTCCCTTGACGCGTCAATACTTAAATATGAAACCATGAGAAAAGGATGATTACAAGTAATACAATTAAACCACCACAAATCAATGTATTTTTACTATCTTTTTATATAGCTTTGGTACAACTTGACTTCTTACCACCATGTTTTCCCTCGCCACTTGAAATCAAACATAAATGCAGCACAGGATGCGTGGTAACGTTTTCTTCTCCTCTGAAGTTCTGCTTCATTTATCATATCTCCCCTGTACTCAACAACAAAATCACCTTTGCAAAAGGCAGCCTTTGCAAATAGACCACGTCCTGCAAAATACAGAAAAAAACATTTTTAAATTAATAAAATCTTATAGATAAAGGATACCAAATACACTAAAAAAGTAATCAATAGTTGGCAGCTGATTTAAAATAAGCTGCAACCAGGGGTCTGATTAAATATACCCAGGAGTTTTGCATTACATGCTCATAAGATTATGGTTAGGAAATGCATATCTTGGTAAATATTTCATGATAAAAATCACACCACCTTACCTTTCACTGCATTGATATACTTCACATCTAATTTGAATGTTTTGTCAGTTTTTGAAACAACATGATGCATGGCATCCTTAAGGGGGCTGATTCGTGGTGGCATTTCAAACTGATGAAAAATAAAAACATGCTCTACTCTGGTCTCATCATGTTTGTGTTTTCTCTTAAAAATCGCTGTCCGTTCCTTTGCAGAGCAGCCATGGTGATCTACACAGTAACGGTGAACACAGGAAAAAGGCTTTTGGCGGGCACCACCAGCTATATCTACATCCAGCTGCGTGGGACTGAGGATGAGAGTGACGAACAGTGTCTAAAATGCTTTCGCGGGTTTTGGCAGGGATCGGTAAGTGCACCCAATTAAACCAGTAGTATGGAGTGTGTTTTGGACAAAAAACTATCAATTAATGCTATATTTAATGGAAGATAATTGGGTAACAATTTACAATACTGCAGTTTCTTTCTTACTGCAAAACTAATAAGGAACGAAGAACTAATAGGTAATTCTTCATTAACTTCTTCTTCATGACTCAGAAAGATTTGTTAACCAATCAATATTTAACAGAATTGTATGATTGAGTAACAGTTAGTTAATCAATAACTAATACCGTCATACGGCCTAAAGAACTACTATTAATTATCAACTAACAAAGGTTCAAGAGAAACAACTAAGAAGTAGGGATGGGACGGTATGAAAATTTCATATCACGATTATACAGTAGTGTCCAAAATAATCGTGATTATCAATATTATCATGGTTTTGTTAAAAATTTATGAAAGTGCTCAAAAAGAACTGATGCTCACACTGAAAACATTTCAACAAGTTTTATAATTGAAAATCAACAAACAACAAATAAAACAAGCCTCTCTATGCAGCTTTTTAAGCAAGATTCTATTCTATGGCATTTGCTTCTTTATAATGCCGTCGTCAATAGCAACACATTATTACACAGCGCACATCCATATCACAACGGTTATCGTCCCATCCCTACTAAGAAGTGACCAAAAACTACATTGTGACCCTTTCTGAATTTACTAATGTTATTAATAGTAGTATTGTGAAAATTTTATCAAAGACATTTAACTGTCAAAGATGTTTTTGCCGTTGTGGTTTTGTGTTCTGCAAGAAATCAACTTCAGAAAGGAACCCCACTCAAGAGCCTTGCCATAACTAACCTCAGATTAATTTTTATATGTTAAATTCAGTGCTGTGTTTTACATTAAATGTCATGCATCAGTAAATTCATTTATTGGAGGCAACAACTGGGGGAAACTGAAAAAATAGGGAACTTATTAGTAATTAATAAATCAATTCTGCAGGAATTACTTAGAACCTGAAACAGTATTCTAAAGTGAAAATATAGTGCTCATTAGTAATTAATAAAAAAATATACTTCTGACTCAAATCAAACTTACAGTGAAAAATCACTATTAACGTAATCATCTAAACCTTAAAATACACGACAATGACTTGTTTACATGATATCTTCCTATATTTCAAATCAGAACATTTATTAAAGTCCCTGTAAAGGCAATTCTACAAAAAAGTTCTAAACACATTATAAATGTTACATGTATTGCTAAAACATATTACAAAGTCTGTGAACTGTGAAGTACTGAAATGTGGAGTTAGACCGTTAAAGCTGTAGTATACGATGTTGAAAATCGGTCGAGAGAGCCTGAAACGGGAGGGAAGTTTTGAAAAACTCATCCCGCCTCTTCACACACACCCCCCTCCCCTCTGCTACCTGATCCCTCCCACAGGGAAACGAATTAGCAAAAGATTAGCAACACATGAAATGTTCTACACTACCCACCACCGTAAGTATGATTTCAATAGTATTGCTAAGGTTGTGAGTAATTGTTATAGCAGCATACAGCACATCTTTTTGAAATTCCGATCGGCTCGAACAGAAACCCGCTAGGCATACTGCAATATATTCAAGCACTTCAAGAAATATATTTACTTTGAACCGTGATACAGGCGATGCTAAACAGCTAACATTCCAATGCCGACCGGCAGCATTAGCAAGTTTTCAGACTGATAAAAAGCTATTTATGTAACACGTCACACCATATAAGAGTACAAATAAATGTTTACGTGCTCAACAAAAAGTCAGCCGTGTCAGCGTCGGTCTTCAGTCCCAGATCTCGCTAAAGTTTCCTCCATCGGTCAATGGTGGACCCTATATTTATCCTGCTCAACTTTCGGTGTTCTTCACATTTTCTTTTCGTCTCTGCTTTTTCCTCAAATGACTTTCTCTTCCGTCCTAACTTTCTTGTAGGGGCAAGCAGGGGACGCTTGCTGATGTATTTTTCGTTGTTATCCATTGCTGTCTGATGTGCTACTTAGCTAGCTACCATGTGCGGTCACCTGCTAGTGCTAACGTGCGCGATTCTCATGACGAAGAAGGGGGGCGCGGTCGGGGTGGAGACGCGAGCTCCAGGCGGAGTTTCAAGTGTAGCTGGTGATTGGATGAGAGCAGTTGACCAATGTAGCTTTGCGCTCGCAAAGCTTCCATTGGTCAACTTTTATGTGGCTTTACAGCCAATAGAGTGAATGGATTTTTTTCGTTCTTTTTTCTATTTATATTGTTAGGATTATACTATATAACCATAAACAGCATCTAAACGAGGATATTAATAATGAACAATCTTTGAAATCGTATACCCTAGCTTTAAACAGTTTTTCACCATTGCAATTTTACGGATTAATTAGGCGGGGCTGAAACAGGGCTCGATGACGCACTGGAGCCCATGAGCTGCTGGACACGCCCCTATTTGATGACGCAGAGTCTGATCTCCCCCTCTCCACACACACTCCCCGAGCACATTCGCATTCACCGCTCAATCGCGAGTGACTGTCAGTACTATTAGTTACTACAGCTGAGCCTACAGTTTTCTAGCTAGCTATGCCTTCCACACGGACATGCATGGGCCACTACCTGGATGCGATCATGTACAAAACAGATCGGTATCTTCATTTAAAGTCCCTTAAAAACGACCACATCAAGAAGAGGTTTTTAGAGAGCCTACCGTGATGAAGAGCTGAGGATCAGCGACAGCAACACCCGCCTCTGTAGTGATCGTTTTACACTGGATCGTTTTATAAACTTTCCTCCGAGACAACTTGGATTGACTGATAATCCGCTGTTACTGGCGAACGGGGCCGAAACGACGATCTCCCGCCTCAGTGTTCATCCTCCCGTCTCCAAAAGCTAAGCTAATCAGCTAAGGGTAATATCATCGTCGACAGCTTTCCCGTGAGTGGGCGTGGTTTCAGCGCAGCCAGCCGACACGCCCCCAGCGTTTGAGAGCACAGAATACTGCTCATTTTTTCATGATTTTGATAGCTTATTTTATGCACTTCCCAGCATTTTTTATCATTCAAATTTGGCTGGGTGGCTAATAACACATTTTTCTGTGGTGTCACAAACTCAGAACAGATACTTAATTTTGACTTTAATTACATCTACAACACTGCCTAATTTTAAACTGCAGGGATTAAAGTGAAAAAAATTCTTCTGACTGAATTTTTTTTCAGGCCAAGTCATATTCCTGTAACTTTATTTAAATAGTCGAGACCAATAGCGTTTTAAGGGGAGATGTTTTAAACTGATCTACTGCCAGTTTAAAAGCTATTTTAATCTATGAAAAACAATTACTTATCTTGACAAATAATCAACCATATACATAACTTTTCAGTGCATGTTTTTATTTATCTTATTAGACCAAACAATGCTAAACTATATTAATATATAGTTTGTGCCATGGCAAATTGTTTTGGCTGAGGGCAAAGTGAAGTTTCATAATTTTATTATGTAGGCTATATTTAACTTTAACTTTGTAGCCTATTAGAGAGCTGACTTATGTTTAACTGAATTGTTTGCTTTATTTCTCATTGTATAGCTTATTATAGCCTACCTATTAGGCTACTTATACTTTTGAACAGGATATTAGCATTAAAACTGACATTTAACAAAAAAAGAGACATGGTTGTGTAATTTTATATATTCTAAATTATATAAAATATTAAATTACTATGCATTCTCTTCACTGTATGTGTACACATAATACAATAAAATGATACAACCCTGTCTGTTTGTTAAATGTCAGTTATAATGATAAATAATGTTTCATATTTTTAAAATGAAAACAAAAAGAAGCAGGTTTGTGTTTTAGCTATATTTCGTGTTGTTATAAATATATGATAATCAATGTGCGTTGCCTGAACCACATTTGTGTGGCCATTTATATGTTTATGATAATAATTATGTTCATTTATAAATGAAAAGAGGCACAGTGGTGTTGATGAAAAAAGGCAGAGTTGATAACCGGAGTTACGTGCTTTCGCTCCACTCCAGGCTTTATCACATCCCCCCTCAGCGGGGTGAATACGCATCATCTTTCCTGAATTTAAGACCTATTCAAACTAAAATTAAGACATTTATCACACCGTTTGCGAAATGAAAGCCTATTTACGGCCTTAAAATTATGAAAAGTTAATTTAAGACATAAGGACAGACGGGAACCCTGCAATTGACGGATATCCGTCATAGACTCGCTGCAATTAACGGAAATCCGTCGTAGCGACGGAGAACTTTAATCCCTGAAACTGGTTTAAAACAAGTGTAAGCAGACGGTGTCTGTCCTCCCGTGTCCATGGTAGTGGTGCTGGATCTCGTGTTCGGCGGGGAAACTGCTAACTTCAGACCGTTTCACTTAGAGAAACATGCTGGGACTGACTCCAGGACTAATTATCATTTTACTGGAGTTATATTTTATTCAAATTCAAATTTATTTATAAAGCACTGAATAAAACAACAGAGTTGACCATAGTGCTGTACAGACAATAAAACCATAGACAGAGGAATAAAAGAAAAAAAAATGTACATCCACATATCTAATTAGGTAATATAGGCTTCATCAATCAACAACATGTATTTATAAAGAAAAATGAAAAACACTAGCACCCTTCACGCTTATCTTGATCGAACGCTATCATAAAAAAGTAGGTTTTCAAGTGACTTTTAAACTGACTAAGTGTAGGAAGGTCCCTAATATATAGAGGTAAACTGTTCCATAATTTAGGGGCTGCGACCACAAATGCACGATCCCCTCTAGAT